TATATATATACTATATATACTATATATATACTATATGTACTATATATATATACTATATATATTATATATATAAATTATTATAAATTATTATAATGTTAAATTATTATATATACTATATATATACTATACATACTATATATATATAAATTATTATAATGTTAAATTATTATATATACTATATATACTATATATATATAAATTATTATGTTAAATATGTGTATAAATATATATATATATATAAATTATAATGTTAAATTATTATATATAATTACAAACTTTAATTTTTAATATCTTTTCTTCACATACATCAGTGTCAGTCAATCAACATTCTATAAATATTGATGAAGTTAAGAAGCAAGAAATAACATGAAAAAATGGATGGATGCAAACCACTTTAGGATCACGCTATTTACATACTGAAAAAAGAAGCATAACAGTTGTGAAGGTATTAGCTAATGTCCCAAACTTTTGGTGACGTTTAAAAAATTGATACATAAATAATTGAAAGTGTTTAATCAAATATGTTGGACACAACATTTATGAAACATTTGATTTATATAATAGCAAGTAAGAGGATCCTCTACCCGAAAATAATGTGATTTAAATCGACTTACTATCGACACTCAGTTAAACTGATCATTTCTCGTCTAATTTTATTTGCTAGAAAGTTGTAGAGGCAAGCAATTTTGATACGTTCGTAAGATAATTATAGCCCAGTTGCTTTTTGCTGAAAAATTCTAAATCGACTTAACTCTCAGATGGTAAGGTTAAATACGTGTTATGTAAGATATAGGATCCGGTTAAAGAAACAGGTAGAAACATCATATGCTTTTGTTCAACGAAATTTACATTTCAGTTTGTGTTAAATCAATTTGTACGCCAAAATTGTAAGTTGCAAAACAATTAGTAGTACAATCATTTAACTATATATTGTCATTAATTATCATGTATGTAACTTGGCAATTTTAATATTCCAGTTAGGAAGCAAAAAGTACAAGCGATAAGCAGATCATTTGGGACTTATAGAAGAAGCAGAAATACAGACTTGAACAGACAAGGAAGAATATTCACGTTTCCACGTAGGATGTTGATAACTTTTGTCATTTTTAGCCAAAAGATATTCCTATGCACTATACGTGCACGTTTCACGCATTGAGATGCTAATAATACATGTCTGTGTGGATAGATTTTCGGCTTGTTATTATTAGAATGGCAAATAACACTGTACAACACCAAACTTGCAATAATTCCAAGGAAAGTAACGCGGCTAGTCGAGGTGCTACGAACCTGTAGTTCCGAATACTTGATTGACCATGTCCCAATAGAATCCATCGAGCATGTTTTTCCCATGTGCGTGCTGGTTGCAAAGGGCTGGCCACAATTGCGCCCTGATCCCGTTGTTCAATGGCCACGCGTTCTCCCTTATGATCAGTTTAGCCTCCCTCTTCCTGCCGGCCTGGAGAAGCGCGTTGACCTCGTTGAAGGTCTTCAGCGTTTGCTTCTTGCTGCTGGGCGACTCCGGCTGTATGACGATGTTCGTCGTGTCGACGTGTGGCGGGAATGCGTCGTCGACGTCGACATCCGTCTCCTCCTCGAGCACCGGCAGCATATTCGGCAGATTGTCCGTCGAGGAGGGTGTCTGTGTGACTAACATCGCACTAAGGCGTGAGACTTTTCTTCATGATGCCGTTCTCCGTTTACTCTTTATACTAATATTTACGTCATATCCTGAGATGTTTCAATTTTCATCTGGAAGCAAAAAGAAAAAAGGAAAAATATGTCTTGCATACTATGCAATAGTGCACATCAATGTATGTGTGTTAAACGAGAAGTAAAACATCCTTTATACATCAAATGTTATATGTTCGAGAAAGAATGAAATCTTCTACGACTGCTTTGCAATGGATATAAATATTACTATTTAATTTTGTTCGTTGATTAAGTTTTCAATGAATATAAATCTATTTACTTCGAGAAGCCAAATGCGTCAGACATACTTTACCAGATGCAATATATAATACGATGTTTTGCCACCTATTTTTAAATTTGCTCGTTATCGAAGGTGAAAATTTTTCAGCATGTTTGATGTTTACTTCAATAATCATCATCGCGTTTATGATTAACATCTTTCTTTTGAAAATTAATTTTCCTTATTTTATATATATATATATATATATATAATATATATATTATATATATCCCCATTATATATATATTATATATATAATATATATCCCCATTATATATTTATATTAATTGAATTATAAACATACAGGATAGACCACTTGGAATCATTTATATTATCCTATATATATATATATATATGTATATATATATATATATATATATATAGCATAGACCACTTGGAATCATTTAAATAATTCCATTGTTTTTAGAGACATGAATAAACTTTGTTAATAAAAGTTATTCAATGTTAAGATCATCATCAGAATCATATATTGTATGTAACAATTTTTTATCTCCACCTTTTCTTTTGTTTTTTTAAATCGAATAATATATTTTTTTATCCACTAATCAATATAGTTCGACGTTCTATATGTACGTTGAAAAATTATTAGTTTCGGAGATATTTTAATCTTAATTCTGTATAATCTGTCGTACCAAAGATGAGAAAAGGACAATATTCTTATGTCCATATCGTTCTTGTCTTTTATGTCTAGATTTTACAGAATTAAAGTTAAATATCTCCTAAATTAATAGTTTTTCTATATATGTATATATATATATGTGTGTGTATGTATATTTCTAGAATTAATAGCGTTGAAATAATAAAATTTTGATCATTTGTATCAATTGAAATTATTGCAAATAATTCATTGTACAATACCTCAATTTAATTATTATCTCAATGACAATCCTACCGTGTATTTAAATTAATTATGTTGCGTTTCGTAATTGTGTCGCGCACACTGCTGTACCGACGAATTCGAAATGACAAGCCAACGATACACGGGCACATAAGTTGACGTAAACACAGAATGTTTGTTTTCCTTTGCTAGATGGCACTGTACAGATAATCGAACATTTGATTGAGCCAGTGTTTCATTGCCTCACAGAGGTGGTAGCTCTTGTCTCTTACCTAACTACAATTAGGAAATCGTTGCAACAAAAAGTATCGCGACAAACTCATTAAAAAATAACGTATAATTTGCAAATTATACTAACTTAATTTTGCAGTCTTGTCAATTTTTTGTAGCCACTGTATATATTGTTTCCTCGAAACTAAACTACAAACTATACAAAACCGAACGATGGCCGCATGTTTTCAAGAATTTTCCGTAAACATTCCCATAATAACTGCGACCTGTAGTTAAACGTATCATCGTCCGGGGTCGCAATCACTGTGTGTGCTCGTTCGAGCAAAAAAAGATGTGAGAAAAATAAGGAGGGGAAGTATTATCTAAGCCAATGCATCTTTCATGTTAGCCGTGTAATGTACATTTTCCTTGATGTCGGTTCACTACCACAGTGCACCGGTTACTTTGCGACCGAAATCAATTGTCTCCTGTAAAGATGCCAGCGTAAACAACACTCGCGACCAAGCGAGTCCCTTCTCGTATTTCTAGACGGTGACAACAACCGTTCGCCAAGTCAAAGCTGTAAGGAAGGTATTACAGGTGAGAAATCGAATCGATTATTTTTTCAACTTCCATCTGGAAAAATTTAACAGGTAGAAGTTTGTAACATTTCGAAGAGTAAATGTACATGTAAATAAACTGTGTTGCAGACGGTGACTTTATGTGTGCACAAATAAATGGCAAGTACGAAATAGAATTTGTAAAATATACTTGTTAAACTTAGATAATTCCAGACTGGACGCCTATATATATATATAAAATATTCATGAAAAAAATCCCTAGAGCAGAGTACGAACTTTTCTTTAGATTTTGAGGTTACAGGGGCAAACAGCGCGTAGTGTGAAAATGATGGGTGCTCGGTATGGAACATGAATGGTAATCTAATGATAAAGAAGAGCACAGTGGTAAAATTCGATTCGCGCGGGACGAAGAGTGTCGATCAGACAATGACCTCGGCAACATGTTTCTAAAGGAGTCGACCAGCAGGAGACAATGGATATGTAATATCACCTATAATTAGCCTCGTTAAAGCTGTCTCTAATAATAAGCAAAGCCAGCCAGATGCAAAACCGTGAACGATAATCTGCCGGTGTACTTAATGATTATTAATAAAATGCGCGATTTATCTCTCACCGTCCACAAACAAACGTTTTATCGATACACCATGTACAACTCGGCAACACATACTGCACACAATCGGCGGAGAAACTGCTTGCCAGATAATGCCTTTTATGACGATGCTCGTTGTGCCTGGAGGCTGCGCGGCAAACGGAATTCCCTTATCAAGACATGTTATCCCTTTGCGTACGGCACATGGAATTAACCTCGGTAAACAAATTACCGACGGTAAACAAACACTGAACAATTCAAACAATTCGACATTTTTATGTTTGGCAAACGGGCTTACAGGTGTCTTGTTTAGAGTATATGCAAATTTGCTTTCAAAAGTCTCTATTTCGCTGTTTATCAAATCGCAGATTTTTCCTATCTAAATCTAAAACTAACTGAGATATCAATTTATCTGATTCGTTAGCCAAGTGATATCAAACTGCAACGATCAGCGACTTTCACCAGGGGGCCGCGACGAATTCTTGTTGCAATTCACAGCTGCTGAAAATTACAGCACAGATTGTTACAACATTGATCTTATTAAAAATCTACGATTCACGGG